CTAGACAAGCAATTGAGCCACATCCCCAGTCCATGACTATGGGAAACTTAAATATGACCTCATCCTTGAAATCTGAAAGCCTCACACAGAGCAGACCCATAGATACCTCGGTCTCCTGGCAGTGCTCCCCAAGATGTCATGGAAAACTCCTGGGTGCACATACCCCTAGGGAGGCATTTAGACAAGCATTTAACATCATTTTCACTGTGTACCTCTTATGTGAGAGATCTTGATCCCAGAACTAGGTGGGGCTGGAAGCCACAGGCACTGTCTTTTGAGCAAGCCATACAAATTAGCATTTTTACTAATGCTATATGCAGAATATATCACCTTAACTTTGCAAAGACTGACCAAAAAAATTGGCTAACCACACTCTTCCTAACACAAGACACCGTGATTGGTACAGATCCCGGAGTTTATTCTTTTTAGCTTTAATTTTCCTTTCCATTTAACTGCCCTCAAGCACCTATTCTACTGGTGTATGGGTATTGGGTCCAGTATGTTTTTAACTTTAATCCCTACCTATTGTTATTTAGTAAAAATACATTAGACATATCTATTTTAAATATTTTATTTTTATGCCTATGAGTGTTTTGCCTGCCTCTAAGTACACCACATAGATGCAGTGCCTACAGAGGCCAGAAGAGGGCACTGGATCTCCTGAGGCTGGAGTTAAGAGTTGTGAGCTGTTATGCCGGTGCTGGAAACAGGAGTGGGGTCCCCTGTAAGAGCAGCCCGTGCTCTTAGCTGCTGAGCCATCTTGCCAGCCCCCTTTACCTATTTTAAGGGTACAATTCTGGTCATTGCCTATGCTTATGCTGTTGAAGAACCCTCACTGTCATACATCTTCAGAAATCTTTCTTCCGGTTTCGAAGCTCCGCCCAGTAAGTAACTCATAGTACTTCCCGTTCTTTTCCCTCAGCACCTGGCAATTACCACTTCCTTTCTGTCTCTACAAATGTGAATCACAAGGTGTTAGTCATTTTGTGATTAGTTTATTGCACTTGGCATGGAGTTTGCCAGGCTTATCTCCGTCACAGCTCAAATTGTTTTTTTTTTTTTTAAAGCTGAATAATATTCCGTGGTGCATACAGACCTCACTCTGTCACTCACAGTCATTTATGGGGTTTCCAGTTTTGGGTAATGCTGCTACGAATATTGGTGTGCAAATACTATCTTTGGACTCCTTTCATTAAGAGAGAGAGAGAGAGAGAGAGAGAGAGAGAGAGAGAGAGAGAGAGAGTTTGTGTGTGTGTGGCCAGAAGTGGAATTTGTTGGGCCCTATGGTAATTCTATGCTTAATTGTTTTGGGTAATTATTATGCCGTTCTCCCTAAGTTAACACTATTTTATACTCTTGGTGGCAATGTGCACATGGCTCAATTCCTTCATAGTCTGTTTCATTTTCCATTAAAACAAACAGCCCAACAGGTGTGCAGTAGTTTGCTATGTGTAATTTTTATATTTGACATCCATAGCATCGTACGACTAAGTATTGATTTTACATGGGACAGTGGCTTTATTTAAAGTGAAAACTACATTTAATTGTTTGTGCATGTACATTCAGTCATGGGAGGCAGTTGTACGCCATGGCCTGCATGGGAAGGTCAGAGGGCAACTTTTAGAGGTTGGTTCTCAGCTGGACATAGAACTCCATGTTGAACTCAGGGTTTGGGGGTTCTAGGAGGGCCACCTTGAGTATAGACTACAAAACCCTCCTAGAAAAAGCCTGGGGACAGAGGCTGCCTCCCACAGGAGGTCCTCTGATGATAATTCCAGCCCTGCTTGTCCACCTGCCTTTACCAGATGTGAACCTTCTGTGTGAGATGTAGGCAGAACCCTCTTCACAATTCACCACCTGTTGGCTATCTTAACTGCAGCCAGGTGTTCCTGTCCCTTTCTTTGCACAATTCCCAATCCCCCGGGAGCCACACCACACACTTTAGCATGTGGGTGTCATAGGCTCTGACCTGACTGTGCTCTCTATTCCTAGGGAGACACAGCTGCCTCCACCCACAATCTTGCCTCTCCTGAACTTTGTACTCACCAGGATGAAAAATTAACTGGACTCATGTTTCCCTCCCAAGGACAAGGACAAAGTTTGCAAGGCAGGTCTGGCTGGGTCTTAGGATACCAGGTGCCAGCCGAAGCTCTAACCAATCCCGAGCCACCTACCTATTCATTTCCAAGGTAGAGGGGGTCTATTCCTCCTCCATGGGAAACTGGCCTTGCGCCCCAGAAACTTTCTCACAGGGAGACTTGAGGGAAAAGATGGAGGTTAGAAAGGAAAAATTTGATTTTTCTTGCAAGCCAGTGGTCATTAGTACATGGATGCTGACAGTGGAGGAGACATTCAGAAAGTTCTTCATCCCAAAGTGGGTCTGACAGGTTATTTTCTCCCCTCGGAGAAACAAAGGGGTGGATGATGGTCCCTCGGGGGACTCAGTGATGTAAAGGTTCTTCCAAGCTACTGATATGCTACTGTCTTCTCTCTTTAGCCCCACTCTTCTCTCCTCAGGTTCTCTCCTTTCCTCTGTGGAATTCCCTTTGTAGATAAGACTGGCTTTGAACTCAAGAGATCTGCCTGCCTCTGCCTTCTGAGTGCTGGGATTAAAGGTGTATGCCACCATTGCCTGGCTAAAATTAACTTCGTACTGGAAGATGATTACATCAGGCCCCTTTCTGTCCTTCTCGGCCCACCTAAACACACCTTCATTCTTATCCCTTGGTGCTTCTCTGGCTGTCAACTGCCTGTGGTCAAGGATCTTCCTTGTTCATTGTGAATTTCTCAGTAAATAGCATCCTTGTGATATCAAATGCTAAAGAGAGAGAAGCTGGATTTGAACCAGCTCTCCTGGCTACCCTTCTTCATGAATAGACTCAACACTGGCCTCCACTGCTGTCTTGCTCTGGGCTTCACAAAAGTTCCAACACCTTAGGAGGTGGAGAGGAAAGGGCCTGAGAACCTGTGGTAATTATGCACCTATGAGAAAAACTTTTGTTTAGCAAATTGTGCCTTGGCTGCCCTTTACAGCTCTAGAGCCAGTAGCAAGACCTCGAAACCAAAACCAAACGAAAAACCTGGGTTTAAATTCTGGCTCAGACCCTTGTGGTGGTGCCTCCCAGGACTTTAAAGGCAGCGATTGGTCTGTTTGATCACAGCAGTTAAGACTGCCCATCTTTAATGCCAGTACATCGAGGCAGAGGCAGGCATATCTCTGTTTGAGGCCAGTTTTGCTCTGGTCTACAGAGCGAGTTCCAGGACAGCCAGAGCCACACAGAGAAACCCTGTCTTGAAAAACAAAACAAAAAAAAAAGATTCGTCCTTATAGTCTCTAGCAGCGAGTGGAAGGGAAGCTGCAGCCACCATCTACCTGGTTTGCAGGAACCGGCTTGCTAAGGTCTACTGAGCCTCAGGGGTCTTCCTTTTAGGACTCGGTATCAGGGAGGTGGAAGAAGAGAAAACCACAACCCCTGACAAGCTGCGGCTGGCGGTTGGTGGTGAGGCAGCCTCGCGGGCAGAGCAGGGGGCCCCTGAAGCTTCTGGGCTGACTTTGTGGGACTGGCCACACTTCATAGGGTTTTGTAACTCGCACCGGATCTTGGTTTGCAAATAACTTGTTTCTCACCACGGGAGAGAAGTGTGTGTGTCTGTGTGTGCGCGCGCGGACAAACAAACAAACAAACAAACAAAAGCATACTCTAAGCAACTGGGCTAGCCTGATACGGAGGCTGAAACAGGATAAAGGAGGTGAGGGGCTGCTGTAATGCCCCAAATCCGTGGAGGTACCGTGAGCAACCAGCCCTGAATTCGGCTAGTCTGCAGTAAAGCCCTAGGGCTACCCAAAGTCAGGTTCTCTTGGCTTCCCACCTAGGCTAACTTTGAATAAACTTCCCGAGTCTTGCTCTACTTTGTGTGTGTGTGTGTGTGTGTGTGTGTGTGTGCGCGCGCGCGCGCGCGCGAGTTCACTGCTTTGTAAACAAAAGCTCTCTTATCTGGTGTCGAATTTCAGAACTTCAGTAACACCCTATAATGTTAATTCCCCCCTCCCCCAAAGAAAAATCCTAAAGCACCCCCATTCATTCCTTCAGGAACGCAACAGATGTCTTTGAGGCCCGTTTTCTGCAAAGAGCTTGGATCACTGGGCCCAAGGGACCCCTGGCTCCAGCTATTGTTCAAGTTGTCACCGAGGTCCCTTAATTCTCCTTTTAAGTCTCCCTCTCCCCTTTTCCAACTCCCTCCTCCGCAGTCTCAGGCAGTCAGCCGTTCTGATCTCACCCAGCAGGAAAACAAAAACAAAACAAAAAACCACCTAAAGCAGTCCGGGCCACTGAGCTAGATCAGCGCGCCCCAACTTCCTGGGCCCGGAGCTTTTCTGTACCCCTCACCGCACCCAGGTCCTCTCCGGGGTCTAGCCAGCCCTGGATGGACGGTGCCTGTTCCCTGCGAGTCTAATCCTCTCTAGTCCCTGCAACTGCATCTGAGCGTCTGGGGGGTGGCGAGTCCCTAGGAGTCCGGTCCCGCGGCACTTGGCAGAGCTGACGGCCGCCGTGCCCGGTGGCCCACGTGGGCGCGCTTGGCGGCGCTGGGCGGGGAAGGCCGCGGGTCCTCCCCGGAGCAGGGCGCGGGGGAGGAGCGGGGAGCCCCGACAGCGAGGGGGCGGCGACAGCGCTGGGAAGGAGGCTGCACGCGGAGCTGCGTGAAACGTAGACTTGGGAGCGGGCGGGAGAGGAGCGGGGAGCGCGGCTGCACGGCCCTGGCCGGCCCTGCGAGGCGGCGATCGCAGAGGAGGAGGAGGAGCAGCGTTGCAGAGGCGGAGGGATCTGCGCACCAAAGCCATTCAGGCCAGCAAAGTTTGGCTGGGGATTGGACTTTCCTTCCCGGAGGCGGCACCCAAACAGCTACCCCGTGCGGAAACCCAAACTTTCAACTGCCACTCGGAGTCTCGCGGCCGCCGCCTCCGCCCCGCGCGTCCCGGGCCTGCCCGTCAGTCCGTCGGTCCGCGTGGAGTCACTCGGGCGCCGCCGTGCTCCCGATCCCCGCAGCTGCAGCGCCGCGGTCCTGGCCCGGACGCCCGGGCAAGTTCTCCAGAGTTAAAAGCGAAGTTAGGGCGAGGGGCGGGCCGAGCTGCCTCTGTGCGCCCCCGGCGTCCCCAGTGCGCCCAGCCCCGCCGGGGGCGCCGGTGACTCTCCCGTGCCAGCCATGTCGTCCATCCTGCCCTTCACCCCCCCGATCGTGAAGCGCCTGCTGGGCTGGAAGAAGGGCGAGCAGAACGGGCAGGAGGAGAAGTGGTGCGAGAAGGCGGTCAAGAGCCTAGTGAAGAAGCTCAAGAAGACGGGGCAGTTGGACGAGCTGGAGAAGGCCATCACCACGCAGAACGTGAACACCAAGTGCATTACCATCCCCAGGTGGGGTCCCAGAGCGGCGGGGGGCGCGCCGGCCCAGCCCCCTAGCGTGGCCCGGGTGGAGAGGGAGGGCGTGTGCGTGTGTGTGCGCGCGCGCCTGTAGGGGACGGGGAGTGGGTGGAGGGACCCTAAACAAAACCTTCTTCGGATTTGCTCAGAGACCAGGCTTCTGTGCGGCATTTTAGCTTCCTGATCGTAAGGATCGCCAGCCGCCTCCAGGCAGCGGGGGGTGCTTCTGAGCTTGGCCCCCCAACTCTCGGGGCTTTGGGCTCCTAGTGGAGGCCCCGCTTTGTTCGGCTCTGCCGGCCGAGCCCCTCCTCCTCCGCCGCCTCCCGCCCCGCGCTCGTGGAGGTGGTGGCGTGTGTCCCTTTCTTTTCTTCAGCTCTGTTCCCCCACTTTTCCTCGTCTACAGGAATGCAGTTGGTACAGCTGTGGGTGAGGAGCGGGAGCCCGTTGATTGACAGATTCCTTCTTCGTTCTTTCTTTTGCTTTGGGATTAGCATTTTTACTGAGTATTTTTAGATTTGGTTGTGCCAGCCTCCCGCCCCCTGTGCACGCATGCACACACGCACTTAGTTGGAGAGCAGAGCACCGACTTTGAAGCGGGAGAAACAAGTGGCAGGAAGTAGGGGCTTTCCCTCTTCCCACCCCACCCCTGCTGTTTTGCGATCTTTTTAATCCAGAGTATTGCGGGTGCCTAGAATCGAGCAGGCAGCTCCAGGCAGATAACAAAACACCCCAGGGCTGGCCTCCCATTGGCCCTGCATTCCTGTAGAGCCTCTTTTCCCAAAGCGCTTTGCCATCTGTCCTGACCTCCTTTATCCTTCCCATCGGGCTAGAGGAGTCGGGCGGGAGCTCACAGATGGCTGATGGAAGGGGTCAGTGACTTCACTCCCAAGGCCTTCTAGAGCATAGCCTGGTCTGAGGATAGCCTGGTCTGGGCAATGGGGTGAGGGCACTTTAGACTTCTGGGTTTTCTTCTTCTCCTCCCCCTCCTCCCTCTCCTCCCCCTCCTCCCCCTCCTCTTCCTTCTCTGGCACCTTTAAAGCCTTATTCCAGATGAGGGGCACGTGGGGATGTTTGGGGGCGTTCTGGCTGCAACGGATGAAGAGAGTTCCCAGGGCCTAGGATAGTATAGATCATCACCGGTCTGGGCCGGGGTAGCTTCCATCCTTGGCCACCTGCTCAAGGCAGCTGTATATGGGCTGCCAGCCCTGATAGTAAGGCACAAAACAACATCTGTCCACAGGAACCTAGGATCAGCCTTCCTTGGAAACAAACACCACATATGGTGGGAATGCCAACTTAAAAAAAAAAAAAGAAACAAAACAGAGCAAAAACAAAAATCTAGCAACCCCCAAACCTGGGTAGGTGGATCCCATCAGTAAGGGAGAGGGAAGGCAGTATGTTGTCTGGGAAGATGTTTGGCCTCTGAGCCTCTGCCAGCATTTAAGGGACCTGGTGTGACACGATGGTCAGAGGCACCTGGGTTTCAGGTCCTTCTCCAGCTTTCCATTCTCCTTTATCCTTTTGATGAACTGGGACGGTTGAGTTTCATAGGGCTCTGTCGGGTCTGGAGAAGCAGCCTTTTTCCAATCTGCCTGGGTTCACCCAGTCCAAGTGCTTTCTGTTTTGAAACCTCCCCCCTCCAGTGCTATCAACTATGAGACAGCTGTGCAAAGTGTTTCACAATTTATAAGGCACGTTCATATGGCCTGGAAGAGGACAGAACTGGAAGGCAGAAAAGGCATGGAGGTCTAAAACGATCTTGCTTTCGAAGTGACAGAACTTAGAAAGGGAAAGTGTTCTGTTAGATCTGGCATGCCCTTTGTCCCAGGCTGTTTTGGACTCTGAGTCCCAAAAGCATCCTTGTTCAGGGTGGATAGTGGATCTCTTCTGCCTGCAAGGCTCTTGGTTAATACTCTTTGGGCAGGGGTCAGCTTGCAGGAAAGGCTATGCCTTCCTCAGAGGCAAGTGAAAGTTAGTGTGCTTCTGAGAGTTCAGGCTAACGCCGGCGCTCCCAGCCTCCTAGGAATAGGTACCTTCAGCCTGTGCATAGATGGTGGGGTTTGGAAACGGGGTGTTGTTCTTTGGTTCTTTGGCTGCACTGAGGACTGAACCCAGGGCTTTCTTTGTGTTAGGCAAACACTCTGCTACTGAGCTACCCGCCGAGCCCTGGGATTGTTTTCGTTCATCTTTTCTCAACTAGAGAGACCCAGTTGCTTGGGTGGATCCAGACAAAGGTGGATTTCCATCCCTGGATTTTGTGCCCACGCATCTGGGTCACCCTGTCTCCCTTGGCAACAGCTACTGCTGTTTTGGCTATGGGCAGAAAGTTAAAGGCCATGTCTTGGGGAGGTGACTAGTTGGCTATGTGTTAGTGCTATCCCTGTGTCTGCTAAGCCCAGGGCTGTGTGTTGCTTGTCACATTGCTGCCTTTGAGAACTAGGGCTTTGGAAAGCAGACAAAGGAAAGTGTGTGACTTAGTCACCGTCTTCGTGTGGGGCGGGACACTGGGTGCCTCAGTACGTTCTGTCAAATCTGAAGCCGGGCCTTGAGGACTCTGAGTCTTGAGCAGCAGTGGTGGCACCTTTTGGCTGTGATAACTCCCTGCCACGTGCTGGCTTCTTCTTTTTCCCAGTTCTGGGTACATTCAGTGACCAGGAGAGGTGGAGTGGTCCAGGCTTGCTTGCCTTCACAGAGATGAGGTGTAGGAGTTTCACTTTATTCCACAGAGTGGAGAGCAGGGGCATCTCAGATCTGGCAGGGGTGGGGCAGAGCTTAGGCAAGTTCCATGCCAGCAGCCCACTCCCACCTGCTTGAGCGGCTGAGAGGAGACACAGGTGTCTCCCTCTCCAATTCCTAGAGGGAAGCAGAAGCACCTGCCTTTGAGAGAGACAGGTCAGCCGCAGAGGAGAGCCACAACTGGGCCAAACTAAAGGTTTCTCTGGTTTAGAAGGGATTTGGGGGTTTGTAATATAGCACCAAGTCCAGAGGAAAAATCAAGAAGTGAAGTAGGTCTTTCAGGAAGCACTCCCCCCATCTGCTTTGTTCATTCCCTTTGTAGTATAACCTCCTCCTGGGGACTCCAGGGAGTTTGTTAGGCTACCCTCAACTGTAACAGCTTTCTCCAGCTTCTGGGGACAGAAACACCAAGGCTGTAGACAATGCCAGATAGGTCTCCAGCTAACCACCTTGGTGTAAACCATTGGCAGCAAGCCTCTTCCCAGCTGCCAGCATGCAACCCAACAGGACAGGGGCTCAGAACAGCGGGTAGCTGACTAGAGGGCTGGACCAGTCAGTATTCTCTGGTTGGAAGAACTTTGACCCTTGCTGCTTGGTCCCAGGGCAGAATGTTTGCATCCGTACTTTTTGCAGGCAGCCATTTACTCTCGGTTTCTAATCAGAAAGCATAGGATTGTTTCTTGTGTATTTGGTGATATTACCCAGACACATGCGATGTGGTCTCTGACCCAATGTTATATGCCCTAGGGAGGGATGCAGAGATGCGTTTGAGAAGGAGGGGGAACTTTTGGGGATTGAGGGTGTTGTGGGGAAGATGACTGTGATATATGCTTAACATGTGATATATGCTTAACATGTGATATATGTTCAACATGTGATATATGCTCAACATGTGATATATGCTTAACATGTTGTAAGGGCACGACAATAGAATATTAAACAGTGACAGCCACCTGCTTTCTCTGGGGAGATCAACCCCTCCCAACCCTTGGAATTCAGGTCCCTGCCTGGATTTAAAGTGGTCTGTATTGTATTAATGCGTTTATGTCTGTCTGTCTGTATTGTGTGCATGCCGTAGTGTACATTTGGAAATCAGAGAACAGCTTGCAGGCAATAGTTCTTTTCTTCCACCATCTGAGTTCTGAAGATGAAGTTCAGGTCATCAGGCTTGGTGGCAAGCACCTTTACTGGCTGAGCCATCTCACCAGCCCAGAACCTTCATGGATGGATATAAAACTGTGTTAAGATGAAACCCTAGAAGTGTTTGCACACATGCTGGGGAGATGAGGGGGTGGGTTTTTGTGTGTGTGTGTGTGTGTGTGTGTGTGTGTTTTGCCCTGTGTCCTCATCGCTTTGACAGTGGGATTTATTCAGTCATTTATCGAGTGCCTTCCAAGACGGCAGTGGCTGGGTACCTGCTCTCAGGGAACTCAGCATTCCTGCTCCAGGATAGAGGGCTGGCAGGGTGGCCAAGGACTGGACAGTGCTCCAGGTAGCAGGGTGCTCCAGGTGGGAGCTAGCATGTGTGTTGGGGAGGTTGGTGTGTGCTGGAGACCTGTACTCAAAGACCATTTTTGAGTCTTGTATTTTGCTCATATTTACCTCCCCTCACCCTTCCTGATCTCACACTCTACACTGGCATCCCTGTAGTCCCTCCTCTAGTTTCTCATCTCACATAGTTAAAAAAAAAACAAAAAACTTCTAGATTCTGCATATGTGAAAAAGCACATTATATCTGTCTCAGTTTGATTTTTGCTTAACATTGTGATCTCCAGTTCTACCCATTTCCTTGAAATAACATCTCCCTGCCCCGTGTGTGTGTGTGTGTGTGTGTGTGTGTGTGTATCTGTATGAGTTCGTGCTTCTACGTGTGTTGGGACCTGAGGAGAGATGTCTTGCATGACACCTTTATCTGCTGGGCTTTTGACAATAAGACAACTGCTGTGATTCTCTTACTGTCACTCACACAGAAGGGCCTGTGAGCTGAGTGCTGTCTGGGACCCAACTGTAAAGTGTTTTCTCTTTGAAGTAAAAGGCAACTTGGTGTGACAAACCTGAAATTCAGGTTTCCTCAGTGGGAGCAGGGACTCTAGCAGGGGCCTTTGGGTGCTTACCTTTCCTTTTGGTATGTACTGACTCTTCACATCTCTCAATGACATGATGGGGAAAAGAAGTCCCATGAGCCCCAGCTCCTGAGACGACATTAGAACCTTTACTAGGATATCTTCTAGAAAGTGTTTGCAAAGACATAAACACTT